TAGTGCTGATCCAAGCCAGGATGCCTTTACCAGGAGGTGCTTTTGGTTTTTTAGAGGGCTTCCCAACCTCATCCTGAAATCAGTCCCATAATGTGCTATGGCAGGAATCACTTTGCTCCTTCATTCACCTTTTCCTGTAAACTGGAAAACTAGAACATAGCCCATTCATTTATTAAGTTTTCAGTAACATTTTGGTCTTAGCTTTGCTTAACCATCCATGACCAAAAATTTCAGGAGCTGCCATTGCATGGGAGAAACCTCTGAGAGGCAGCAACAGACACCATTAAATCAGCTGGCACTTCTTTTGTGTGCCTGTAACTGAGTTTGCTGCTGCAAACTTGGTAATAATAAGAAAAAAGTGGAACTGAGTCTGTGCTTAGAAGCTGAGGAGTTATTAATTTTCATGCTTGCAAAAGGCTTTAAAGTTTAATGAAGGTGCTTAGTTTTGAAGAGGAGAAATACTTCTGAAAATTGTTTCCACTTAAATTGATAATCTGGAAGTGTGATGAGAATTTTTACAGCCTTTTGTGATGTCCCCTCTAAAACGTTATTGCCTTTAATTCCATCAGCTTTTTAAAAGGGTGGGAGGATTTTACATTTTCCAAGACAGTTTTCCCCTGGAGTTTGGGCTTTAGTGAGACTTTCTTCTGACTCACAGCATGGTCCCAGTTTGGTCACTGTTGTCCCACCTGCCTCCCTTTGCCCACTCCTAAAATATTCCCATTGAGCTCACATGCTGGGGTCTGGCTGGAGTCTGGCCTCTCTTTCAGTCTGTCCCTCATGTTGGTCTAGATGTCCTTGAGAAGGTGCCTGTGGTGCTGGTCCTGGAGACCAGTAGAGCTCAGAGCAGTTGCTCCTACCAGCATATCCCCACTCTGTTATTTGCAGGTTTATAATTCCTCCTCAAGTCTCCTGGGGAAGTATCAACCATGCCTTGTGGCAAGGAGTTGGGTCAAGTGCTTCTCTCTGGGCAGATGATGCTCCATGTTACTGGGACCCTGAGGTGGTCATCCTACCTCTCCCATCCCTTTGGGTGGTGGGGCAGGAAAATTATGGCAGCTGTAGAGGTCCCTCTGTCATTTGGAGAACGTGCTGCTTTATGAAACCCCAAGCTCTGTCAAGGGTACTGCCAGGCAGTGCCGATGGCTGTGCCATAGTGGCCTTCCAGTACTCAAAGTGGGCCTGCTCTGTCAAGGGTACTGCCAGGCAGTGCTGACAGTACTTAAAGTGGGCCTACAGGAGAGATGGGGAGGAACTCTTTGTCAAGGAGTGTAGTGACAGGAAAAGGGGAAATGATTTTTAAAAGGTTAGATTTAGATTAGATATCAGGAATAAATTTGCCACCCTGAGGGTGGTGAGACACTGGCGCAGGTTGCCCAAGGAAGCTGTGGGCGTCCCATCCCTGGAAGTGCTCAAGGCCAGGTTGGATGGGACTTTAAGCAACCTGGTCTAGTGGAAGGTGCTCATGGCAGAGGGGTTGGAACGAGATGGTCTTCAAGGTCCCTTCCAACCCAAGGCATTCCATGGTTCTGTGATTCTGTGTCACAGGGTCTGGCAGGGGCACGCCGGTCGGTGATCGGGGACAGCCCACAGCTCCTGACTCACTACTACGACGACGCCAGGACCATGTACGAGGTCTTCAGGAGGGGATTCAGCATCTCTGGTGAGAGCCTGGGAGCAGAGGTGGGGAGAGGTGGAGGACCAGGGGATGTAGAGGCCCCAACAGCGTGGGAGGCTGAGAGGTTTATGGAAGCTCAGAGCACGTAGAGGCTGAGAGAGTGTGGGAGCCCACAAAAGGATGGGAAACCCAAAGGGTACAGAGGCCCATCTGGACTCAAATACCAAAGGACCATGGGAGGCCCAGCAAATGGGCATCTCAGACTGGGGGACCCAAAGAGTGGAGACCAACAGACTGGAAACAAAGTGAAAGGAAACCCAGAGATGGGGGCCAAAATAGAGTGGGGGGTCCAGAGTGTCAGAGGTCCAAGGAGTGGAAGCCAAGGAAGGAGGAGGCCCAGCAAGGGGCAGGGCAGGTGCTGCAGCCTGTGCTGCCCCTGGGGAGATGCTTTTGGAGCTGAGGGGGTTATAATTAGGATTACTATTTGCCACGTGCTTTATTTTGCCCTTAATGCCATTGAATTTTACTGTGCAGTCTCATGATACCATGAGATCTTTTTGCTGCCACTGGCAGACAGTTTAATGTCCTGAATTTTACAGCATCAGCAAAGCTCATCATACATTATTCATTTCCAGAACGTTTCTGAATACATAAAACAGGGCTGATCTGGGCAGAGGACTGTGGAACCCAACTGAGCTCTTACTCTGCTGCAAACACTGATTCCTATTTCTGCTCATTGCTGCCTTTTCATCAGTTACTCACCCAGCTTACCTTTTATTCCACCACAGGGCAGGGTAAGGGACTCTGCCAAAAGCTCTTAGGAAAGCTGAGTGTGGTGTATCAGTCCATCACCCTCACCCCAGGATCAATGGTACCATCAAAAAGCTCTCACATCCTTGTGAGACAGCATTTCCAGCTCCAAAAAGCCATCATGGCTCTTCCCTGCTCTGTCAAGACTATTCCTGTGTCTGCTGCTTACAACATCCCACCTCGCTGAACACAACAATTTTATTATCAGATTATTATTTTTGGTACCAAAAGGCTCAGTGGAATTGTAAATATTCCAGCCTGCAGGACCAGGGTAAATCAGTAACTCAGCAGGTGGACAGAGGGATGGATCTTTTGCAGGTAAGGACAGTTAGCAAAAGAATTAAACCTCTCAAATATTCCTCCTGTCATGTAGTGCTGCCTATTGTCTTACCCTGCTCCAGAGCAGGTGGTGCTAAAAATAGCAGTTTTCACTTTGAAGTGTTTAAATCAAAGGCAAGGAAAGCAGCAGGAGCTGGTGTTTGGGATGAGAGCCCTCATCAGACATTGATGCTCACTCCACCTTTGGAGGAATGTCTTTTAACGAGGCTGTTTGGGGCAAAGTGCTGCTGTCCCCTCTGCAGCTCGGGGAGGAGGATGGAAGTGACTGTTTGGGAGATCCCAGCAGCCTCTCTCCTGTTAGCAGCACTCGTGTTGAGTTTGTGGGGCTTGCTCTGAGTGAGAGCCAACCCCAGGAACAGCAGATTTCCTCTGGGGGGGCTCTGGGCACCCCACAGCATGGTACGGGGCAGCACATTAGCTCCTGGCACTGCCCCCACAGCTCCATCACCTCTGCTTCTCTCTTCCAGAAAACGGCCCCTGCCTGGGGTTCAGGAAGCCCAAGCAGCCCTACCAGTGGCTGTCCTACAAGGAGGTGAGCTGGAAACAATACCCCCAACAACATCCCCTGCAGAACCCTCTTGCCCTGTGCTCTCACCCTGCCCAGCAGAAGAGCTGCTGTCAAGGTGCCCATGGGTCTCAGGCACACGTGAGCCCAGGGGGATGCCAACGTGCCCTGTGAGGGCTCGTGGCTCCCCCAGCCAGGCACAGCCCCGTGCTCTGCAGGTGTGTTGGCTTTGGGGGACCAGCTCAATGCTGGTGGCCCACTCATGACAACAGCACTGGCACACTCATAGCCATGGGGCATTGCCACCCAGAGCTCAAGTGCTAGTCACCTGCTAGTCAGCTACCAATGGCTCATGGTAGCATAAAGAAAATGGACCTTTAGATCACAAACAAGATAGTTTGAGAGCCTCCCTGGGTAAGCTGAGTCTTGCTTAGCTTGGTATTCATTATATTTCTATTTTCTGGGTGCTTTTTCTTTTTCTCTCCAAATTCCAGGTGGCTGAAAGAGCAGAAGCTCTGGGTTCAGGCCTTCTGCAGCAGGGCTGCAAGCCATCCACGAAGCAGTTTATTGGGGTCTTTGCTCAAAACCGTCCAGAGGTGAGACTTGAAGTCCAGCTTGATGGTGTATGAATGATGTTCCTGACTTGTGAGCTTGCTTTACACTTGAAGCTTGTTCTCAAGTGTGTGACATCTGCTGCCACGGCCTCCTTTTCACCTTCATGCTTTGATGTCCTCCTGCAGTGGATCATTTCTGAGCTGGCTTGCTACACCTACTCCATGGTGGTGGTTCCCCTCTACGACACCTTAGGGCCTGGAGCCATTCGTTACATCGTCAACACAGGTAAAAAGGGTGAAATCTTCTCAGAAACCAGTTTTGTTTGCTCAGAATGGTTCATTTTCTTCTGCTTTCCAAAAGACAGGTGATTTTACTCATTGAGTGTCTTGAAGTCACTTTGAGAAGTTTCTGGGGAGCTGGGTGTCCCCATGCCACCTCTGCTGCATTTCTCCCGTGCCTGGTCGTGCACAGCCATGGATGGGGCTGCTCTGGCTGCAGGAATTACTCCACAGCCACCCACTCCTGTGCTGCTTCATCATTTGCCTCCTAGATTTTTTGGCCCAAGTGGTGAGGCACTTTAGCATTTTGAACTGAATCCCAGCAGAATTGTAGATGTAGGCTGCAGCTTTGGCATGGATTTGGGTTAGGTAAATTTGCATGAATTTTTGAAGGGAAATGTATGTTATATTCTAGGATTTCTGCTCTGAGCCTGGAGAGAATATCAGAACTGATAGGGGGTTAGCTATGAGCCAGCAGCCAACACTGCATTAGAAAAGATTTACAGTAAACAGCTCATTTGGCTGCTTTTCTTCCAGCTGACATTTCCACAGTCATTTGTGACAAGCCAGAAAAAGCCAGAATACTCCTGGACCACGTGGAGAGGAGAGAAACACCAGGTCTGAGCTCCATCATCCTGATGGACCCCTTTGAGAAGGAGCTGATGGAGAGAGGGAGGCGCTGCGGGGTTCGCATCCAGACCATGCAGGAGGTGGAGGTGAGTTTGCACTCCCTCTCTTTTTACTGTATTTCTTAGTTTCTATGAAAAGACAATAAAATATACAGGGACTTGTGAACTGTGGGGCAGGTTCAATGTCTGGAGAGCACAAAAGAGCAGCTGGGGGCTGTTAATATTGATGTGTGGCTCAGTGAGTTGCCTCTGAAGTGTTATTCCTTGTTGATAGGAGCCAACATTTCATAGAAACATAGAACATTTCAGTCCTCCCTGCTAAAATAAGGTATCAGCTGCTATTTAAGCCTGGGAAGTGAGGCTGCTGTTCCAGACACTGTCCTCCTACATGTGAGCCTACAGCCTTACACTTCTGTGAAACAGCCTGGATCCAGCTCAACCAACCAAAGCACTGCTTGAAATCCATGGATAGCATTGCAGTTAATGCCAGAAACTTGAGATAGAAAAGATGACCTAAGTGCTAGCCACAAATATTTCTGCTCTAGCCCATACCCTCCCTTCATAGTTTGCAGATTATTAGCAAGTGGGTTCCACCATGGGAATTAAAGTGGAAATAATTTTTGGTACTTTAATCTCTTTCAGGACTGTGGCCGAGAGAGTCGACACGTGCCTGTGGTGAGTGCTGGGATGCTGCCTCTCCCACTGACAACTGCAGCTGACTGTCACATTGGTTCCCTGACAAGAGAAGGAAGGCTTTGCTTTGGGCAGCAGGACATGTGCATGTCTTTAGGGACACTGTTCCATGGCCAGTTCAAGGGGTGATGGGTTTAAACTGGAAGGGGGGAGAGTTAGACTAGAGAGAAGGAAGAAATTTTTTACCATAAGGGTGGTGAGCCCCTGGCCCAAGAGGCACCAGGGTTATGTTTGGCACCCTTGGCTTTCCAGTGGGGCTTCTATAGCTCAGAACCACTGCCTGGCAGTGTTTCTCTGGGATATATTTGGAAAAGTGCATTGATATTTTTCACTGGCTGCTGATACTTGTGCAAAACTTTGAAGAGCAGCCTCTGGTTTTCAGGCTGTTTATTTATTCATTCGTGACCCAAATCAGAATACAGCAGTACTGCTGGAAATGGGAGCCATCAGCAGCTTCAGAGAGTTGTCCTCTGTTGTGGATAATCACAGCTTTATCTGGAAATCAGTAAATTATCTAATTTTCCACCACACCTACAGGTACAGGTGGTGTCTTTGAAAAATACTAGCTGCAAGACAAATATTCCACCAAAGCCATCGTACACTAAAGCATGCTCTTAAAGAGCTGGGGCAAAACTTCATGGAGGAATAGCTGAAGAAACCTGATAAAAAGAACTTTTTGATGGTCTTTCATGTATGCCATGGGGAGTAGAAAGCTTTTATTGCAGAGCTGAAATATAATTGGTTTGATCTTTAGGTTTATACAATGACACCAGCTTCCCATTGACCCTTCTGTGTTTGATTGATGTGATTTTCTCATTCTCCTTGTGTATTTCCAGCCTCCTCGACCAGAAGATCTATCAATTGTCTGTTTTACTAGTGGCACTACAGGTAATAGAAAAGAAATTTTCATCTCAAAATGTTAGATTATCAAAGGAATTATTCATACCCCCTCAATATGTTGAGATTTGCTGGTACAGCAATGGCATTTCTATGTGGTTTTAATATATAAGAACATCTATGTGTATACATTTATGGAGATTGCAAATTAAAACTAATGATGTATTTCTGTTTCACTTGAATTCCCTGAGATACACTTTGGCAGTAGGATTTTCCAGTTGCCTGGAAATGTGCCCTTGTTTCTGCTTCCCATTTTGCAGTGCAGTTGTGAAGCCCTTGATTGATTTTTATCTCCTGCAAATGGGATTTTTTTTTAAAAAAAAAAAGAAGTGTGGGTCCACAGCTTTCCATTCTCTGTATCCTAAGCACACCAATGTCCTCAGCACCTCTGGATCCTCTGCAGTGTTCCCAAGCTGGCTCGTGTGTGCCAAATCTTCTCAGATTTGCCCTGGAGCAGCACGTGGTGGGATGAGCCTGGGCAGCCCACGCTGCTGGTACTCACATGCTGCTGGCCTCTTCTCCTTGCAGAGGAGCAGCATCTTTTCCCTGCCTGTTCTTAGCACACACAGTGCTTTCTCCTCCCTCCAGACCCTGCTTTTCATACAGCTTGCAGGAATTTATTACTCTTGAGAACCTGACCTCCATAACATCTACCCAAAAGCTATATAGGGAAGGACCATGCTCCAAGGACCACTGGAGCTGCTCTTCCAGGTTCACCTGTGCTCTCAGGCTTGTCCAACCCTTGGTCCTGCCCCAAAGCATCTTGGAATTGCTCATTTAGGCAAGCAGAAGCTGCTGCTGGACACCAAGCTGCCCTCCAAGCCTGCACAGCACAAAGCCTGCAGATCAGGCTGAGCAAGAGGGACATCTCCATCTTCCACCTCCTGGAGAAGACTTGTACTGCAGATCAGGTAGGCAGCTGCTTTATCAACCCCAAGGATGAACAGAAAATGTATTAAAAAGGCTTTGGGGGGTTTTACCTTCATGCACCATTCCTAGTTTTGAGCTCTGTGCCCTTCAGAGTACCCAGGGCAGCACACTGTGTGGAAGAGAGCAATGCTTAGTGACCCACCAGCCCCCCGTCTGCTGCTGGAGGACTTTGCTCATCACTTTGGCTTTTCCAGGGCTTGCATTGACACCCTGGTCTGTTTTCCACACTGTGTTTTGACATAAAAGGCTTTGGCTTTTGTATAACCCACATCAGGATATTTTTAATGACCAGACTTAAAATTTTGTTCCAACAGAGCTGTCCTCAAGGGCTTTTTCTGAAGGGCTCTAATTATTTTTGTATGGTATGAAACAAATCTTAGCTATAGAGTTTGTAACCTGGAAATTGTAGAATATGAAACAATTTTAGCTGTTTATAAAAACCCCTTAGGAGCAGACTTTAATATTTGCTTTTAAAAACCCCTTAGGAGCAGACTTTAATATTTGCTTTTTTTCTGATAGGATCAGCTGTCCAAATGCCTCCTCAGGGAGAAGGGAGAGCCTGAGATTGCTGAGCTCAGATCACAAGATCAGCTTTTATTCCACCAAGAAATCACCAGCCCTCCAAACTGGGCCAAAGCCACACAGATGTCCCCAAACCATCAGCATGTGATTTTTCATGCTGGCTACTCCAGAGAAGCAAACTGTCCTTTCCTGAAGGATCCACCTGTAACCATCTGGATAAAAAATTGCTTCCCAGCAGTTTCTCACAGCCTGCCAGCACACATCCCTGCCCAACAGGGGCTCCTGCAGGGAGGGAAGTGTTTACATCCCAGAAAGCTGATGGGTCACACCACTGACCTAGTGCTGGAGCTGCTACTGGAAAGAACCATCTGGTGACATGGAAGAGGTTCTTCTGGTGCTTATGGTAACTCTCAAACCAAGCTGGAACCAAGCTAAGGAGGATTTGCTGCACCCAGACATGGTTTAGTGGGGACCTGGCAGTGCTGGGGGAACGGCTGGACTGGATGATCTTGAAGGTCTCTTCTTACCAAAATGATTCTGTGAATGGATGGGGATCACCATGGGCCCATTTCTGTAACAGGACACTGCAAGGTGTGTCTTTACAAGGAAATTCAAACTTGGGAGCAGTGGTACAGATCTGACAGGGATCTTTTCTTTAAACAGAACCAAACAGTATCAACACCAACCTTTATTCTCTCAGAGTGGCAATTCTGAGCAAGGGCTCACCTGAAGGGGCTGCTGTTTTGCTTGGTTATATCTTAAAACAGAACAACTAGAGAATGTCAAAATGTACAGAAATCCCCCAGCCCAGAAAGCTGCAGCTCCCCCATGGCAGCACAGTTTGCTCTGGATTTCTCCCAAGGAAGGTTCTCCTGGCTCTAACCTTGCTGCTCTGCTTTGACACCACAGCCTGCCCAGGATGCTGAACCTGCAGGGCAGGACAGGGGATGCAGCCAGGAGGAAGGAGCTGGGATGTTCACACTGCTCCCAGGCATGGCATGGGGATTTGAGCAGAGCTGCAAGTCAGAGGTGGAGTGAGTAAATCAGTCTGGGGTCTCAAAGCATCTGAGAAATCTTCCAAAAGAAATCTGATGGGCTGGGCCAGGGTGCAGGAGCCAGACCTGCTGCTGCTATAGCCAGAGGGTGCAGTTCTGGATTTCCAAACACCAGTTTTTAATTTCCCAGTCCTGAGCATGCCCTCTCCAGCAGCATTGACCTGCCAACCTGGAGAAGCAACACTGCAGGACCACAGCCACAACTGCAGGAGCTGAGAGCACGTACTGGGCTAGCCACAACTCAAATAACACAAAGGTTTCTGGGTCATTGGCACGTCTCTACAACCAACAGTGGTTCCTGGAGTTTTCTTGAGGTTTGGATCCACGTCTGCACCCAGCTGTGAAAATAAACACCTCAAAACAAAACCTGCCTGGCTGAGCTGGTGCCCACAAGCCTGTGTGTGCAACACGTTGGGACAGGAGCAGTTGTGGCTGGGGGAGC